TGATTAAGGTTGATGACAAGAGAAACTAGGGCAATGGGTAGGCCTCTGGAAAACTGACAGGAAAACTTGGCAAAGCGGTTGGTTGCAGCTGTGTGGTGGTTAAGGACTATGGTATCATCAAGGAGTACTTCAAATGCAAGAAATGAACAAATAGGGGCTTCCCTGGTGGCGCAGTGGTTGGGAATCTGCCTGCTAATGCAGGGGACACAGGTTTGAGCCCTGGTCTGGGAAGATCCCACATGCCGCAGAGCAACTAGGCCCGTGAGCTACAACTACTGAGCCTGCGCGTCTGGAGCCTGTGCTCCTCAACAAGAGAGGCCGCGATAGTGAGAGGCCCGCGCACCGCGATGAAGAGTGGCCCCCCGCTTGCCACAACTGGAGAAAGCCCTCGCACAGAAACTCAGACCCAACACAGCAAAAATAAATAAATTATACAAGCTGACCCTCAACAGAAGGCTGTCTGAGACTTGACATCACTTTTAGGATCCATTTGCTCCAAAGGGTGAGCCCTTTGGGACAATAGAATGGAAGCAGAGCTTTCAAAACAGCTAAAAAAAAAAAAAAAAAGAAATGAACAAATAAACAACTTGGCTCTAGTTAAACATATATATTAATTGAATAATTAATCAGTTAAAGGATACCTGATCCTCATTCCCTTCCAGCACCTGCTATTTAAGGACTCTTGACTCTTGGGCCTGATAAACACAGGAAGTGATCCTTCTGTCCTAAACATGCTTCTCAGCTCCCAGCTAAAGGCACACCCTCTGCCCAGCTGGTTAACGCTTCTTGTCTTGGATGGCTTATTCTAGAATCATGTCTCTGGTGTGCTGGAAAGACTTCTGAGCTGGGGCTTAGACCTGGTTTAGCATCTCTCTCATTGCCTGACATGGGCAAATCTCCATGCTCTGTCTGGATCTGCTTTGCCCACAGTCATATTAACAGCACTTTTTTATTTTTCTCTCTGTTAGTCTGTGTCTATGAAAGTGCTTTGAAAGGTAGAGAATACTCTCTCTGCGGGTATGTATGATGTGCTCACATTCCTGTATTGTCTCCACCTCCTCCCTTCTTTCTTTCCAGAAAGTGATGTCAGTATCCAGCCCTGTGCTGACAGATTCTCAGACCACCATCAATTAGGTTGCAGAGGAGCAAGCCAGATGAGGCTGTTCTGCTCAGACCCTGGTTCACTGTGTATCATTTAGAGAAGAATCTTGTAAACATTTGTATTCTGCATAACTGCTAGTATTTCTTATTCTGGGCTCTTTATTTTAAAGAACTGAAAAAACTGGGCTTCCCTGGTGGCGCAGTGGTTGAGGGTCTGCCTGCCGATGCAGGGGACATGGGTTCGTGCCCCGGTCTGGGAAGATCCCACATGCCGCGGAGCGGCTGGGCCCGTGAGCCATGGCCGCTGAGCCTGCGCGTCCGGAGCCCGTGCTCCGAAAAAAGAGATATTAAAAGGATATAAAAAGGATATTAGAAGTCCTAGAGAAATAGTCGCTGATGAAAACATCTCAAAACCTAGGGGCTTCCCTGGTGGCGCAGTGGTTGAGGGTCTGCCTGCCGATGCAGGGGACATGGGTTCGTGCCCCGGTCTGGGAAGATCCCACATGCCGCGGAGCGGCTGGGCCCGTGAGCCATGGCCGCTGAGCCTACGCGTCTGGAGCCTGTGCTCCGCAACGGGAGAGGCCACAACAGTGAGAGGCCCGCGTACCGAAAAAAAAAAAAGAACTGAAAAGACTGTGCCTGCGTTGTAGGTAAGAGTTCAGAAGTGCATACCAGCATTATTCTGGGCTAGGCTGGCAGACACTGCTAGTGGCTTTTCCAATATCCATCCTCCCCTTCTTTCTTACCAACAGAACTCTAATTTTTCTCAAGGCAGTACTACCTCCAATTAAAAAGGCTCACCTTCCCAACTCCCTTGCAGTTGGGAGTAGCCATGTGACCCAGTTCTGGCCAATGAGATGTAGGGGGAAGTCCCTAGATGGGGGGCCTCCAGGAACCTTTTTTACAGGGAAAAGTCTTAGCTGGCATTTCCCTTTGCTTTTTCCTTTTTTACTTGAAATGCATCCATCTTGTCTCCATAAACACAAGAGCCACATGCTAAAGATAGGAAAGTAGGAAGATAAAATGTCTGCAAGTTCTTGGCAATCTTAGGGAGCAACCTACCTGCTGATTTCTTATGTAAAAATAATTAATCAATTAAACAAACATACAAAAAGCCTATTTGGTTAATCCATTGTAATCAAGTTACTGCTCCATGGAATCAAACACAATCTTAACTAATGGACTGCTAAGATGTTTAATGTGCTCTGATAGAAACTGGATGCAAATCCACTGTAGAGTCCTTTAGAGCAGTGCTGATCAAGCTTTCGTGTGCATAGACACCATCTGGAGAGCTTGTTGAAAATGCAGATTCTGATTCAGTAGGTCTGGATTGGAGTCTGAGATTCTGCACTTCTCACAAGCTTGCAGCTAATGCTGATGACGCCAGTCCTGGACGACTCTTTGAGTAGCAAGGATTTAGAAAAAGACAGCTTTTTTGTCAGGCGGCTTCTATGTTGAGCTCTTCTGTTTTTCTTTGATATGCTTATCATTCAGTTAAAAATCTGCAGAGGACTCAATGCATTTTCAACAAAATGTTAAGGTTTTATTTAGAAAATCACTTTAGAGACAAAACACCGCTCATTTTGTCTAGCAAAATGAATTTAACAAATGCATTTAAATAAGGTAAATTCAAGACTTCTGTGGATTTTTTTCCTTAGTTACTTGATTTTCTGCCAGTGGAAGTTTCTGTCTTCCAGCCTGAGTGCTTTCCAAGTTAATTCAGCTATAATCCAAGGAACTGCTTTATGGAATCTGAATAACTCAAATTCCCTCTGTATTCTCACTCAATTTCAATGTATTAAATGAAACACAAGGAAAATGACTTAGGGAAGTAGAATTAGAAGGAAATGTTTCTCCCTCTTGGTCATGTTATCTTTTCAACAGAGGCCTTGTCTGCTCTGAAATGGATGGTGAAAGTAAATTGTTACTGGGAGGTGATGGTCAAAAAAAAAACTTAGATGATTTTCACACCATCTGTCATGACCCAAAGGAAATGCAAGCCACACCACTTCCAGCCAAACCACTGCTTTACAGAGAAGCTGCCCATAGCTTCCTATTGTTATTTTCTTTTCTAGTTATGTACATTAAAAAAAAAAATACAACGTTGTGTTAAATAGGAGGACAGCTAACAGAGGAGCATATGACACTACACTGAAAAACCAAAAGAGCTTGATTAAGCCTAGAAGAGAAACAGCAGATGGTCTTCATGGAGGGAAGCCGCCAATGACCACCGTCTCCTCAGTCTGTGACGGATCTGCACTCTGAGGGTAGGCCTTCTGACAGCCGCCACTGGGCCAGGCGCTGCTTGAACCATTTCTGGAGGAGGGAAATGTGCAAGATTACCTGTCATATACTGAAAAACTGAAATGTCCATTCCCTTTCTAAAAGTAGCTTCTGTGGCCCAGCTGGAAAAGAGGAAAGCAAGAACTGAGTCCCTGGGGATGGTTCTTCTCATTGTGATACTTATATTTCTGCCTCAGGACCTTTGTACATACTGTTTTCTATGCTTAAAATATCTGACCTTCATTATTTATCTGATGATAAATAATTCTCAGGGCTCAGCTTAAATAGAACCTTCTCAATAAGGCCTTCCCTAACCATTTTATCAAGTAGATTCTCCATCCATCTCCTATTCTCTGTGTTAATACTTTGTTACCTTCACAGAACTTTTAATATCTGTAATTAATTTATTTGTGTATTCACTTGTTTTTAATCTAGATTTCCTTCTAGAATATGAGATCCATGAAAGCAGAGTCTGCATCCATCTTATCATCATTAGCCCCTAGCATAAGGGCTTAACAGAGATTAATAAATGTTTGTTGAATGAATAAAAGAAACTGAAACATCTCCTTGATGCCCCAGATAAATCTGTATGGCTGCTATACCTCATCAATGTGTGATGATCTCAAGGGCCTTGGTCATCAGTAGCACTTAGTAAGAATTTGTTGAATAAAATGAATGAAAAACTAAGCACTGAACAACCTTGGGGCACTCCTTTTTGAGGATCCATGGAGTAGTCTAGACCAATCGTTCCTGCTCCAGGGTCACTGAACAGTGAGAAAAGAGCAAGTGGGATTCCCAGTTTACTCAAACTCTTCTAGCTCTGTGTGACCCAAATGTTCACACCTCGCAAAAGTGACTATGGATTTAGGAAAAGCCCCAGATGGGATACTTCTAGACAAGGTACCATGTGAGGGCTAAAACATATTTTATGCATTTTAAAATACATATAAAGGCATATAGATCTGCCTTTATTATACCCCTGAAGGGCGGGGGATTCTGCAAAGTGGAGATAAGGAGACCCATGCTGGGGAATAGTCTGGGGTATGAACCAGGTTGGCCAGGAGGAATCTGTATTTTTAAACAACAACATTGAAGAGGCAATAGTGAAGAAATAGAAGCAGCAAGCATTAATCCACATGGGAGAGGATGAGTAGAGGGCTCTGTGGGAAGGCATGACCTCCATGCTTTATTCTCCTGTGCTTCCCAACCTTTCACACATCATGGCACACTTTGAGAATGAAGACGTTTTCATGTCATACTGCTTGGGTAGGTGACCACTGGGGGCTCTGCAGTCCTGGGCCCTGCCAACAGGAAGCTCTGTTGTAACCAACTGGCTCAGAACTTGAGGAAGTTAGAGCGCCAGTCAGCTCAACTGTAAATGAAGAGGTAAACTTAGGGGCTATCTACTGTCCCTTGTAGTGTTTCTAGAATTTACCTGTTCTAGGGGTCAGTAGATGAGGGGACAGAAAGGAAGCAAAAAGAACACAGTTGTGGGATGGATGCCAGACCTGGGATGTGCTGATGGAGATGGTATGGTGAGAAACACCTAGAGGGCTCTGACTTGGCACAGCCAAATGCAGATTCAACCTCTGAACAAACAGCGTGGGCTCTAGGGCCATGCGTGGGAAGACCTCATCTCTGCAGAGATCTAGGGAGTCAAAAGGCATTTCAGCATAAGCCCAAGATGAGAAGAAAGGGTGAGAACCACAGGGGAAGGAGTGCTTCTAAGGCTCAAGGTCTGTAGAGCTAGAAGGGAGGGAGCCCACAGCACGGCCTAGGGCTCTGCACCAATGCTCACCTGGCTGAACAGCAAGGGACCACGGCTACAACTCTCCCTAACTGTTCAACAGTTTACACACTGAAGTGCCTAACACCTGTCAAGATCAGTTGTCTTATATACCTTTGTACTGTGGGGTGGCAGCAGAGAAAAGTAATCTAAAGCCAAGGGCAGCAGACTACTCGTAGGGAAGCCTTCTCTTTGGGAATTGCTCTCTGGGTGCTGTAGTTCACTCCTGGGGATCTCCAACATTAAGGAGAATAGAGAGCTCATGTATCTTTGGTGGCTTTAACTAATGTTCTACTGCTAAAGGTGGGCATATTTGCTTCTGTGATCCATGTGTGTATTTAGTTAACTCTGGAATCTGGTGTGAGAGCAGCATAGTTCCAGTTTCATTAATGAGGTAGCTCTGCAGGGGTTTCAAGGCTACAAGGTCTGATTAAACAGAACTTGCAGTTTCTAGAGCTGAATAAATGGCAGAGTTTTACAGACTGACTAATTAAAGCTTGGAGGGGGAAAGGCTCATTTTCTATCAGGATTCATTTAAGACAGAATGATTGAGCTGGCTTCATTCAGAAGAGCCACCCACACCTTTATACTAGTAATGAAGCAAAATATTAACATACAGTTACTGAAAATAACTTCAGCAATGATCAAATCTGTGAATCGGTGAGTTGGCATCCAAATGATTAATAAATTGCACCCTAGCATTGGGGGGTGGGAGGAGGTTCAAGAAAAGCTCAACTGTTTTCCACAGATATATGTTTTTTAAATCACATATGTATATAATAATTTAGCAAACCAGTTGCTCTCCAACAAAAGTCATTAAACACCTTGCTTGCTTTTTTCACCTCCAGAGCTGAATCTTATCACATCTCACTCACATCAATACTAATTTTCCACCTGGCTCTCTCCTTCTCTTCTTTGTTTCAGTCATCCCCTGGGAAAGACATTCATCCCTTGCTTGCTTATGAATGGATGCCCTCATTAGCCTTGCCCATTGATGGAGATTTATTTACTCTGAGAGAACAGATGATAATTAGACACTGTGATGGGGAAGGGGTGAGGCAAAATAATATTGTTCCTGTCCTTTTCTCTAGTAACTAACATTTCATTCTTTTTAGGAGGAGACCTTTAGAGGTCTTTATTCCACTGATAAGACATCTAACAACTAAAACCAGGGTTCTAGGAAGAGTCCCAGGACATCAAGAGGGGATAAAAATCCTGGAAACCAATCTAAGAACCAACGCCAACTACACTGGGATTGAATCAGTGATAGTAGAAAATGGAAGATCATTCTAACCTCCCAAGGGGCTGATAAGAGCTTTCCCAGCCCCTTCTCACACTGACTTCAAAATAATGAAAGACACAGGGGTCGGGATTCTGTAAGGTTTCTCTAATTTAAATATAGGAGATATCTAATTACTGTCATGAGAAAAAACCCATTCTAGGACCCCAGCAAATGCACCTTAAAAAGTTATTTCCATTAGAGCATCCTTCACTTCATTCTGGGTTCCCATAGGTGTCCCTCCCCCCACACCACCCCAAGTAAAGAACATTGTCCTACAGTGGGACAGTTATAAAGAGGTCAAAGCCCCCAGTCAGAGAATATTTCAGCATTTTAGTCCCTCTTGCCTTTGCCAAAGTATCAGCAGTGTGAATCAGCTTGAGTTAACTATCTCATAGGACCATCACATGCTTATTTTTCTTCTCCTAGTGTTACTTGTTCTAGGAAAATGAATATGAATCCCATTCTGGAAGTGGGTGGTATTAGGCATAAGGGACCAAGCATATGAAATAAATATTATTTTGGCTTTGATGACCTTTTCTCATGGAAAAGGGCAATGCTAACAAATAGAAGAAACAGGGGAAGTGCTGATACCAGACACTGCTTATGTTTAGGCCCAACAAACCTGGCCTCCATCAGTTATTTAAAGGGTCCCTACAGGGAAACCATTCTCACCCACCAGTAACATGGGGGTGAGAGGGTTGGGAAGGGGTTACGGGGATGGGAGGGAACGATGGGAAGTTGGAAGATGAGATCCAATCTGGTAAGGGATGATGGAGGGTTACCTAGGAAGCCTCTTTCCC